GTTGTTTGGCAGGCCTGGGCTGGATTCAAACCTGCCACCTTGGGTATACGTGGCTGGTGCCTTAGCCACTTGAGCCACAGGTGCTGAGCCTTTTTAGCATTATTTTATTCTATAAACTATTTTTTGATGGGTGGTATTATTAAAGGAATAAACACAAATACAAAATCTAATTGAAATAAGTTTAGGAAGAAAAGAAATCAGGCTATTGCAATAAAAGATTAAGTTCAGTATATTTAAATGTTACCAAAGGGGATGATTGCAGCTAACCTTGTAAGAAAATAAAATGCAGGGTTAGCTATCACTCAGAAAACATGGCCTGATCAGTCATTTAGGAGGGATTGAACAGGTTTGCTCTGTATATAAAATTACACACACACACACACACACACACAATTTGCTATGAAATCCAAACACGTACTTTATAATAATCCATATTAACTTATATATTAAAATACCTACATGTAAATAAATCATAGAAATTTCTAAGGAAGCAAGTCCAATTTATAAAAAAGCAAAAAAAGTAAACAAAAATATAATTAACTTAAAATGATTAAGCAAATGTGTGTCCAACATGAAGAGTCACAATAATTTGGTTTCCTTTTTTTATAGTTCAGAATCCATTGCCTTGGAAATATTTCCAAGTAATTTTTGCACTGAAGATTATAGAGTTTCTGTTTGAAGTTGTTTTCTAATTTTATTTTTTTCTTATTATTTTTTATTAAATCATAACTTTGTACATTGATGCATTTGTGGGGTTCAGTGTACTGCTTTGATATACAATGTGAAATGCTTACATTGAACTAAGTAATACATCCCTCACAACTAATTTTAAACTAATATAGGATGTTCTTTCTACTTATAAAAATCTGGACGGTAAATCTAATCATTGTTTCTGTAGATGTGGTTATGGTAATGTGTATGTTTGGAATTGTCTTCACGAGTAATTAGATTCTTCTAGAACTAAAGGATGCAGCTTTGAATGTCATTTGTCTCTGACATCGATAACATTTAGGGCAGTTGTCTCCAAACCTAGGTGCCAATGGTAATCCAATGAGGACAAGGAAAAATATTAAAACAACCTTTATTTTGATTTTTAAATACACCTCTTTATAATTTATTTATGTAGAATAAATTTAAAATTTATTTCCTCAGTCACACTGAACATATTTCATGTGCTCAATAACATATGGTTAAAAGCTACCACAATGAACAGCAGAGAACAGTCTCATGAGTGCCAAAAGTTTTACTGGATACTAGTACTCTACAATAATACTCAGAAATTTTTAAGATTTTTATACTTACTAACTGTTACTTTATCCTTATCCCCCAACATAATGTTGTTTGGCGTCAGATCTCTATGAACAATCCTCTTCTCCTTGTGTAAGTATCGAAGAGCTAAACACAGCTTAAAACAATGAACAGAAAACAAATTTTATTTCCCCGAATATATAAAATCAATGATAACTACTGTGCATGTTTCTAAGAAACCAGCTCAGACCTTTACTGTTTAAAGAAGAACTTAATGGGGGCGGCACCTGTGGCTCAATGGATAGGGCGCCAGCCCCATATACCAAGAGCGGTGGGTTCAAACCCAGCCCCAGCCAAACTGCAACAGAAAAATAGCTGGGTGTTGTGGCAGGCACCTGTGGTCCCAGCTACTCAGGAGGCTAAGGCAAGAGAATCGCCTAAGCCCAGGAGTTGGAGGTTGCTGTGAGCTGTGTGATGCCACGGCACTCTACCGAGGGCGATAAAGTGAGACTCTATCTCTACAAAAAAGAAGAAGAACTTAATGTAGGTAAAAGTGTACCTGTATAAATATTTTCCATAGTCTTTCTTCAGTGAAATGGTGTTGTTTTTCCTTCAAAGAACTGAAATGTTCTCCAAGTGGGGCTCCTTCAATAAGCTCCATAACTATGTACAGTCTATCATCTATATAAGAAACACATAAAAGTAATAGAAGATTAAATTCAACATGGACATCTCAAAAAAACCCTTATGAATTAGAATCCAGGTTTCCAAATAGGTATGCAGGGCACAACCCTAAGCAATTAGAGAAATGCTAGAATGTGGATCCACTCAGTCCTGCAGAGATTGGAGGAGGGGGGTCTGGGGGCAACTGGAGCATGGCCACAATCTCTTCTGGCTACAGGCAGCCTCCTAGCATCAGTGCATGCTGGCAAATACCATTTTCTACATAAGCCAGGATAGGGAATGACTGCAAGTTGCCAAGGACAGTAAGCAAATGATCTCCAGTCACTCCCTGTAGAACATGTGAACCTGCCTTTCCACCCAATAGTCTAAATGTATCCTCAGATAAGTCAGACATTTAGAAAATTACATTTATACTACATCATTTTGTAGTATGAAACAAGTAAAGATTTACCTTACAGATTCTGATAAGTAGAATAATGCCACGGTCTTGCAATGACACAGTTCAAAATACCACCCATATAGAAATCTGCTATGCCTCTCAAGAGCAGAGAAAGATGGGCTTCTCCTGGTTTTATCTAATAAATATTGGAAATTCATGACTGATTTTATCTGTCTGCTTTGGATGCCAAGAAATAAATAAGTAAATTCTACTTCCTCCTCTAAAACCAATAGGAAATCATAGGATATGATATATCTCTTTTGTGACTTTTGGATGTATATAAAATGTGTACGCACACGATACTTACAAAAGTAGAATCATACTATGTGTGGTCTGCAACTTACACTTCTTTTTCTTTAAATGATCTTGTATTTCAGTATACACAAATCCATACCATTATTTCTGTTGGTTGTATAGTTTAACGCAGTATGGGTATATCATAATTTATTCAATCTCCTACAGACAGACATTTATATTGTTTCTAATCTTCATAATTTCAAGAAATATTTATTATATGCACTGAGCTTACTTCTAGCTCTATTTTTGATTTTCTCACCTTTCATTTCTCTCTATAGCAACTTCCTAGTTATTTTATATTTTATGTATTCTTAAGCCACTTTCATTTCTTTTGGGGAGTTATCAAGGGTTGTAAATAAGTTTAAATTTGTTTTGTATATTAAGACACGTGGTGTCACTTCGGCGCAAGTCAGAAGCCAACCTTGATCTCTTTTTGAAGGGCTATGCACTAAGTTATACTAGCATTAAGAACAGATGGCTAAGGGAGAGGATTTATCGCAGAAGTTTCAGCACTGAGTTCTGATGGGTAAAATCATAACAAATGCAAAAAACAAAGGTTTTCTTTTTTTTTTTTTTTTTGAGACAGAGCCTCAAGCTGTCCCCCTGGGTAGAGTGCCGTGGCATTACAGCTCACAGCAACCTCCAACTCCTGGGCTCAAGCGAGTCTCCTGCCTCCGCCTCCCAAGTAGCTGGGACCACAGGCGCCCGCCACAACGCCCGGCTATTTTTTGGTTGCAGCCGTCATTGTTGTTCTGGCGGGTCCGGGCTGGGGATTCGAACCCGCCACCTTAGGTGTACATGGCTGGCGCCTTAGCCGGTTGAGCTATAGGGGCCGAGCCAACAAAGGTTTTCTTAAATAGTGATAGCACTGATGAAGAGGTAGTGAGGAAGCCTCAATCGTTGCCTTGTATTCCTATAAATCTTCCCTCAAGTAGATTTGAAATTTCATATGTGACATATGTATACTGTTTATGTCAAAGGCCCCATTTTCTTTTAAATAAGTGACTGAGTATGGCTTTAGTTCAAAGTTTTGATTCAGTATTCCTTCATACTTAACAGCTAGAGCCTGCCGGTACAATCAGTCAGGGCTCCATCGCCACCTTCTGGCATTGACTTGAACTTCAAGTAAAAGAAATCTCAAGAACTTAGCCCACTCTAATTTAATTTAGGGGTGGAAAGTGTCATCTAATTCAACAAAAATAACTGCTCATTTTCCTTAATGAAACCACTAGCCTTTAGTTTTCTTTCCTGATCCCATTAAGTGCTTTTCTGTGTATTAAAATAGCAATGACTATTTTGGTCTGTTCATGCAGCATCTTTCATATGCAGATCTCACTGTGTCACTGGTTGAGAAAACAATGCTCAAGATCATCCACTGTCATATTAGCAAGAAAGAAATAAACAAAATATCTGATTAAATGTGTTTTGTGACATTCAGATATAAAAATATGTAAGTAACAAAGATGTGTTCCTTGATTAGAAATACCATGAAAACTCATACTTACTTTCCAGAAATGTTTTGTAATAGCGTACAACATTGGGATGGTAAAGCTACAAGAAAGTAAATAACAAGCAATTACTACACTGCTTCAAAACATGAACTTTCTTTACAGACTTTTTAGTGACACTTCATATTTGAAAACATCAAAGAAAATTATCATACAGTAGAACCTTGTCCACCCATGGGATTGTAACAAACGGTCAGCATAAGGAACTAGGCCTGCTGTAGTGACACATACATTCATGTCTGCTCTATGACTATTAGGTCAGCTTAAGGAGGCGGTCGTTGTAGGGAGGTGGTCCACTATGAAGGGTCTACTCTATATTTATTTGTAAAGGTAAGCATTTCCAGATATTATCTAATTGAGATTTATATATTTTTAAATGTGTTGCTTACAAAACTAATCTGAAATAGCAATCTCCGATAGAGCTTTATGAAAATTAAAAACTGCTTTATCACTAACTTAACCAAAAGAGAGAGTTACAGAACTACAAGTAAGCTTCAGAATTCTTTTAGCCTGCCTGAATAGCACATATAAACTGCATAAAGGAAAAAATTGAAATGAAGTAAATTATGTTGAAAAAAAAATATATATATATGCATTGCTCTTTACCTCTCTCTACCACCTAAATATTTATATGGTTTGTATCTATTATACTATTTCTTTCTATGCTCTACAAAATGATTAATATGAAAATAAAGTGATCTAAAGGTTAACTCCGTTTAAATTATAATAACAATTGACAAGAACTCTGTTCTTTTACTTTAGTCAGGCTCCTCTGAGTCTGGCTAAGTCACATCCTTCATCTGCTCTGCTCAGTTTTATTGTGAATCCAGCAAAGTCAGTTTATGGAAAATCCAACACTTGATATCCAGTAAAATTCCTCATCCCCTCACACTTGATATCTAACCAAGTCTCTCTTAGTAATTTTCTATTCACTGACCCCCCTCACTCTGCATACTGCTTATAAATCCTCAATTGTCCTTCTTGAATTTAGAATTGGGTTCACTCTCTCTCCTCTATTGCAATAGTTCAACCCCATGATAAGTGTATTGAATACAAATCTTCCTTGCCATCTTTAAAAAGTGCCTAGTGCAATTTCTCTTTGATGTAAGTTTACTTAAGGATAAAAATGGAAATTTGGCCTTTTTCTACAAGAATATTAATATTTTTATAGTTGTTCATTTATTAGTTTAGTTTCTAGATCATCAGTTGGAATTTGTCTTATCTCAGGAAAGTCACCATCATATCTACAAATGGCTTGCATTTTTTTTTTTTTTTGTATGTTTGTTTGTTTCACTGCAAGCCTTTTGGAAAGGAGACTGCTAACTATCCACCAAAATCCTGCTGTCCCATTCAGAGAGCACATCTTTCAGCCTCTCTTGCAGCCAGGGATGGGGACGTAACTCAGTTCTCACCCACGGAGTGTGAGAGGAAACTGTCTGATCCCTAAACATTGGGAGTGGCCCTCACTGCTCTTCACACTTTGGATGTGAACATGTCTATGGCTGTTTCAACCGCTAAGATGAGGCTGATGCCCTATGAGGTAGCAGAGCAATAAGAGAGAAAAAAAACAGTGTTCCCAAATGACTGAATAGACTAGAGAACACGACCAAGCCAGTTGAGTCATTCTGGGATGTTACATGGAAGAAAAATAACCCATTGCACTGTGAGGCCTCTTTTTTAAGTTCCTATATTTTGGAGCCTCTTACTACTGAAAGTTAGTCTCCAATATTAGCAAATGTTCTCTCCCACTCTAGTTCCACTTATGTTGCTTCTGTCTACCATTATCTTTTCCTTTTAGGTTTCAATGTTATTATCCTTCCCAACAGTTTGAATGGCAATTGTACAACTTTGAGTTATCTCCAAGTCCAAGTAGATGCCTCTTCTTGGGCCCTACTCCACTCAGAAATTTAATTTTCTTAGGAAACATGCTAAAACAAGTAATTCACTTTATTAACTAGCTAGTGGCCATCAGATTTTAAATGATATAGGACCGTGTAAACAATAAGAACAATATTCTGTACCTATCTCGCTGGCACAAACTATAATCCAGATTAGGGTCCAAATGAAGATATGAAAGTGAGTTAAATTGAAAGCTATGTTCTAGCCTTGCACTACAATGCAACAGCATGCTGCAGAAGGCTAAATTATCCTAAACCTAAACAAACACTAACACTTTAACATTTAGCTTAGTAGTATACAAAAGTCAACTATAAGCTATTAGTGACAATATTTTCTGTAGTTCATAAATTGAAGCAGAACTATAGATTTTGATGAATACAGATCATATTTATGGTATTTTTATGTCCCAGCACAGATGCTATACAAAGTTGAGTAGTAGAGAACAAAGAGAAGTGAATGCTCCCCATAGGAGTTATAAAGGAACAGTATTTATAACAAATGTGCAAATAAGGAAGGCTGAAAAAGAAACAAACCTGTCCTTGGATCATACAAAGAAATCCACTTATCTTTTTTTTTTTTTTTTGAGACAGAGCCTCAAGCTGTCACCCTGGGTAGAGTGCTGTGGCATCACAGCTCACAGCAACCTCCAACTTCTGGGCTTAAGCGATTCTCTTGCCTCAGCCTCCCAAGTAGCTGGGACTACAGGTGCCCACCACAACGCCTGGCTATTTTTTGGTTATAGTAGTCATTGTTGTTTGGCAGGCCCAGGCTGGATTCGAATCCACCAGGCTCTGGTGTATGTGGCTAGCGCCTTAGCCACTTGAGCCACAGGCGCTGAGCCCCACTTATCTTTTGAAATGTTTTTTCTCCCCAAATTTTAATAATGATACCTAATTGAGTTGTTGCATTATGTCACAGTATTCTGCCCCTGCCAATAAATAATAACCCATCTTGATAATCTACATTTTAGATTTAATAAGGCACATTTGAGGAATGTTAACAGCTTAATTTCACTTGACAAAGGTCAGGAGACTCTTAATCATATTTTTTCTATGTAACCACATAACCAAATATGCTACAATACAATGAGCAGGGAACAGAGATGCTCACAAGGAAAAGGATTTCTCATCTGTGATGCTTTCTGTGCCATAAAACCCAAGTGCCTTCCATCCACAGGTCTGATATAAACTCCAGAAAGTGTTTTATGGTTCAATGTCAAGCCTTAGGGAAAAAGCTGGTGAAAATATCACTACTTCAATGTCATGATTTCATAGAAATTAGTTCATAAATAGCACGGACAAGAATAGTATAAGAACTCTACTTTCTTTAAATAAATGATGACAGTTATTTAAAGAAAATATATCTAGAAACAATAAAAACATTTACCTGCTCTTTAATTATTGTTAATTCAGAAACAATATTCTTTACACTGCTGTCTCGATCTTTTTTATCTTTTCCAAATGCTGGGTTATGCAAATTGACCTCTTTCATTGCTAAAAGATTTTGACCGCTTCGCTTTCTAACCTAAAAAAAGTAAACCACACATATACAAAGGGTACAAGAAAAAGGGTAAAAGTAAAAAGAGGAAGAAAGAGATAGATAAATAAGGTCACATGATTAAAACTAAGTTATCTAAATAGTCACCGCACATCTAAAATCCTAGCTGTCTTTACATTAAGCTGAGCTCTAAAAATTGGTATTTCCTGGGTCAGTCTGCAATATTCAGTAGGATTTCACTTGCTAAATACAGAACCAAGGCTGTGAATTTATAGAGGGTATTATATATCAAAACAAGCTATTTTGACTAATTTGGGGGGAGATTAATGACACCTGTAACCTTAAAATGTCAGTGGCCAATTTCTAAAAGCTGAGAGCTAAGACATCACTACAGCTATCTCTATCCATTGAACAAAAACAATCATTCTAATTTGTACTTCTATTTGTTCACAATTTTTCAATGACAAAAGTTCTAGTTGAGCATGTGTGATGTCTGGTTTGTTTGTGAATATCAGAAATGTTGCTCCCCAAGGGGAAAGTCACCTTGTAAACACAGCCAAAAGCTCCACTTCCGAGATGATCCAAAATCGCATAGTTGCCTATGTATTTCGAAGGAGCTTTGTTCTGATTAATGCTTTCAATGTTTTCAGCAATTTGCTTCAGTTCATCCTCCTAACCAAAAAATATAAAGGAAATGTGTTGCTGTAATAAATTCTATCCTGACCACATAGCGGCCTGACAAAATATTTAAAACAGGACTCACCACTAATAAGTTCAACTTTGATACTAATTCTTCATAAGCACTGATATCACGAACATAATGTCCTATGTCAATGAAAATCTCAAACAAGTCCGTGGGGAAAAGTCTACGGAAAAAAATATATGCACTTATGGTAGAACTTAGATGTTGTTGAATTGTTGGTTATTACTCCCCTTTCATGTAGCTCACTCACAGATTGATTATATGAAACAAAGTTAACTTGCTTAGCTTATCAACAAAGTAGAGGGAATAATACTCTCCCACTTTATCTTGCAAAAATACACTATCACCTTTGTTTCTCAAGGGAAACAAATAGAAAGGAAACTTAGAGATTTGCAGTACAGCACTGTGCTTATAGTTAATAGTACTGTATCGTACACTTAAAAGGGTAGACTAGATCTCATGTTATGTATTGTTTACCACAATAAAAAAATTATATACTATGGAAATGTTACAAAGACTTTATTTGTAAGATATCTGGGGAAGTAAGGCAGGTAGTAAAAATATTAGGAAGAAATGTTTATTGAATGTTTATTAAGTGCAGAGCACTTTCATAAATGTCATCTGACTCCGTCTTCATATCAAACTTAAGCAGTAAATATTAACTGAATTTTTTAATGTTTTATAGGGAAAAAAAGCCTGTAAATGAAAAATAAACCAAATGAGATTTAGGTATCACTTCCAAGGTACTGTTTCAATGGCTTATTAAAATTTTAAGTTCACTAAAATGGATGGTTTAGACCCTTGAAATGAAAGATTATAATGTATCCTTACTCATTTTACTTTCTTTTCCTCTAAATTCACATGTTATATATGGAAATAAAGTAACAACAGAAAATGGTCTGTGCTTTCTACACTTGATCTTAGCCAAAAGACCCAAAATCCATGCTTTCTGAACAAAAAACACTATATTAAAAGTCAGGAATTTATTTCTATACTGCCTTATCAAAAAATGTTTAACAAGCGCTTGTGCCTCTGGTTTTAGCTAAGCCCTCCACCTGAATGGTGTGCAGACCTCCACTAACGTAACTAGCATTTGATTCCCAAGATGGTGACTTTTCAGTCAGGCTCCATGGCAGAGGCTGCAGACCCCTGAACATACAGGCTTCTCCCCCATCAAATGACCTCCTGTCCCAGCAAGGATATCTAGTCAAATACAATAGTTTTGTTTTCCTATTGATTAAGGGAAAATTTTCAGATCAACGTTCAAATTTCTTCATAGACAAAAATACGTACGTGTCAAATGATGGCATCTACTTAAAATGTTAATATCTTTAATCGCAAAAAAACCTCCTAAAACCATAGCAGTACATGTAACTAAGAGGAGTTGTACTGATACAGTGACTTATGCTGTTTCATCACCATTGTCTTAATTTTCAGTATTAAGATATTGCTAAGACATTGCTACAGTAACTCAGTCGTATTTGTGAAATCTCAGAATTTGAAGACAAACAGTTTGCATATCATTCCCTCTCTTACTGCAGCATCTACATCAAGTATGTGAAGACAGGTCAGTCTCACCATCTCTTAAATCTCATGATCACTTTCATTTCTCTAAGCTCATACCTTTTAAAGAGTGGTCTGTTTCTTTCCATACTGAAGAGAAACCTCAAGGCTCTGAAAGCATAACACTAGAAGATAAAAGAATATATATATGATTCTTAAATGGGAGCTCAAGAAATGAAAATGTTTTCAAGACAGAATTATCATGAAGCAAACATAAAGTGGCTTTACTGTGAGTGGCTGGCCCACGCTAGAGCCAAAGCTTATAACTGAAAACAAAAACCACCAACACCTGGGGTAGCTCTTGTCTTTACAAAGTGTTTGTGTTGTAGAATGTTAGGGATCTTGGGCTTGTTTCACTCAGCACCTGTCACTAATTTCTTTCTAGAAAGTATGAAATGAGTACAGAGACCAGAAATAAAATTCCTATGCTGAGAAAACCCAATGTCCAAAGATTTCCAGAAGCTCAAGGTTTATTTTGTTTCTAGCCTGCTATATATGCCTCAATATTTATATGGTTTCTGTGAGAAAATAAACACCAGAAATGATGACATGTAAAAATAGCCACAGGCACACTGGCCTCAAACTTGACAAATTGGTCTCTTGAGTAAAGAGTCTTAAGCGTTCCCCAAATAGAACAATCTACAGTAACTCCCTAGAACGTTCAGAAAGAGGCCTGTGAGGCTTTAACTAAGAAAAATAAACATCTGACATTTTGCAGTGCTGAGAAAAAAAAGGAAGCCTGCAGTAGTACCTGTAAAATAGGCCGTCACTGGGGGAATCAGGATCGACTCAGTCTAATCTGGGATCAGTTCATGAAATCAGTGATCTGAATACAGAAAGGAGGGCACAAGCCACCCTGCCCAGAGAGGCCTGGCAGATACGGAAAGGACCTGGAGGAGGCCTGTGAGACAGGGAGAACATGTGTGCTCCTCACAAGCCAGTCCCACTGCGATTTTTAAAAACAACCTACTGGCTTAACAAAACGCATCTGCAGGGTAGATTTAACTTTCTCTGTTTTCCAGCGCAGTGTCCTACAGTGCACTAAAGACATCAGATCCCATGACTGTATGTTCTCACTGGTAGATTTCCAAAATCCCTTGCGTGCCAACACCTCCAGAACATCTCTGCCGGTTTGGCCATCATTCTGAATGATAGCTCTTAAGTCAGACTGGAGACAAACATCGTTTCGTACTTCTTTTCTAAGTGACTTTTTTCAAAAAGGGAAAAGATGAGCTGCAACTGCTGCAAAGGCTTAAAGTAAACCTGCATTTGTCTTTAGGGACGCTGCCCCACTCCCGATGTTCCGGGACTCAAAAACATCCTAGAACCAAGCGTGAGTGTGCCCCCTTCTTAACTCTAAGGTCTTATCTCCTGGATATTCCCTCCCCCAGCCACAGACCCCAGCCCATGAAGCAGCCACCCTTCCCCAAGCGCACTTGGTTCTCCCCCACTTTGCACTGTTGTCCCTCTTCGTGGCATGCCCTTCTACCCTGCAGTAGATGCCACTCGTGCCCCACTCACTGTCTCCTTATCCACTTGGCATGTCTCCTCTTATACATCAAGATCCATTTTATAAGTTTTCCTTTTTTTTTAATTTTATTTATTTTTTTAGAGACAGAGTCTCACTTTGTCGCCCTCAGTAGAGTGCTGTGGCATCACAACTCAGCAACCTCCAGCTCTTGGGATTAGATGGTTCTCTTGCCTCAGCCTCCCGAGTGGCTGGGACTATAGGCGCCCACCACAACGTTTTTTCATCACAGTTTGGCGGGGGCCGGGTTTAAACCCGCCACCCTCAGTATATGGGGCTGGCACCCTACCCTTGAGCCACAGGTGCCACCCAAGTTTTCCTTTTTTAAAGATGGCAAACAATTTTCTTCTATTGTATTCTGATACATTCACAATGTTTTTTTTTTAAATAAAACTTACTGCTAAGCAAAGAAACATGTAAATAAAATCCCCTAACTTTCCCACAAAGGCAAACCATTATTGTCTTTTACATTGTTTCAATATTGTTTGATTCCACCCCAGAACTAATGCAAAAATTCTAAAAAGCACAGGTCGAATTTTACCACAGTTTTCCCAGATTTCAATAACTTGAAATGGAAGAATAAAAGACATGTTTGTTACCTGTAAAAGATTTGTTTTTGCTGCATTCTTTTGTTTATTTGGTAAAATTAATTTTGCTATTGTATATACACCATTTTCCTGAAAGAATAAAGGGGTTGTGTTACCAGTGACAATGCTATAGTGATACACAAGAATAAACAAGCAATTAGACAACTCAAAAATTAATATTAAAGAAAAATATTAGTACAATTTTGGAAGATTAAGTAAATATTATAAGACTATACTTAAAATGTCAATTAAATACTTTTAAGTACCAAAGACTATAACCACAATCTTATCATTTTAAGTGTCTGTAAAGGGTTATGGTTATAATTAATAAAGTATATAAATTTAAAGTGATTAAAAACACTTTCTTTAAAACCAATAATGGAACATTAGAAAGAAACAGAGTAAAGGGATCTAAATATCTTTATACCTTACATTTTAAATACCTATGAAATATAATTTATCCTTTATAGTTTAGCAATTAAGAAATACATATACATCAATGATTGTATAATTTTTTAAAGAAAAAAAAGAAACAAGAATAACATATTTAAAAGGAAAAAAGTTATCTATGAAAACATAGTTAACATATTTCTAGATTGTTTCTAATACAAATATATACATGGAGGAATGAATAAAAAGTATTAATTTATTCCTACTTTTCTATATCTATTGAATATATAATTTACTGGTCTCTACTATGCATGGGCATTCATATTATAAATGGGAAGAGCTTTATTTGCCTTACTGTATCTAATCTTTATAGCTATGCTATGAATTAGTTTATAATCTTCCTATTTTATCTATGACAAAACCCAAACTTACAAAGATAAAGTCATTTTCTTCACAATCCAAGTCAGCAGATATTATTTCCAGGAATTGCACCCCAATCTGGCCAACTCCAAATACCTGGCTTCACCCACTACCCTGACTGCGGAGTTTCCTCAGGGACATTAATCATTGATATGATCTCTTTATAAGGCTATGTATTCATGTATTGAAGTTGTATATAACATATTGATGCCCAAGAAAAGCTCCCCCTTAAAAGTCAGTAAGTGGGTTAATATTTTGCAATAGAAATCCACACGAGGGTTTTACATGTGTGTGTTTACATATTTATTTACTTATATTTATGTGTGTTTATATATACACACAAATATAGAGCTGTATTTGTAGTAGATTAATTAATGGATTATATTTTGTGAAACTGGTTTCGTGGCAAGAAATATTTTGTTTGGTGTGTCTCAATCACCTCTAACTGAATAACTTTGATATATTCTTAGTTAAAATGCCCATTGTCCTTAATTGATGATCAATATTGATGATCAATACTGATGATCAATTGATGATCAGAATTAAAGCAATTCAGAATAACTTTTTTAGAAAGAGAAAGAAAATGGAAAGGTCTGCACATAATGTAGGGAAGAAATATCCACATGAATTAACTTTATGTCAGTCCCTGTTAAGCAGAGTGAATTAAAGAAGGAAGAACAAGATATAAAGTGGAATTCCATGAGTTCAATATTTTTTTTAATTTTTTTAATTGTTTTGGAAATACTTGTTTATTGCATGGTTCTCTCCAGATTTTATTTCTAGGCTTAGCATAATTGTAAAGCACTTTGGCAAAGAGGAAGAAGCATTCAGATGTGGCTGGGGACCTACGGCCATGTTGATTGCACAAGGATTTATTTTTCTAAGCAAATATTTCTACATATCATGAACCTGTCTCTAAGTTAGGCCCCATAAAGAATAAACAGTACAGAATCCAAGTCCTCATGGAAGGATAGACAAGGACATCATTTGCTGTCACTGGAATTTCTTTTCATGTGGCCTTTTAATTTTACTATTCTTTGTCTTTATGAGATGAAGTTAGGTCATGTCCCTTATCTTGACACGTCTTAGAAATTATCTGGAAAACAGATTTTGGCTGGGAGAGGTGGTTTATCTGGGAGGATCACCTGAGGCCAGGAGTTGATTTAAATATTTAAATATCACGAGATGTGACCCCTAACCCTATCTGGAATACAGAATGTACCATAAGGTGGGTTAATCATGACCCTGGAGAGAAGAAAGCGCTCACCTGAACCACCTGGTGTGCGTTGGTGTCATTGAGCACCAGTTCAGTGAGGGCAGCGCAGCAGGCTGAAATGAAAACAATCAAACAAACAATGCAGCTCTACACTTCTGCATAATGCTCAGCTCCACAGAGAATTTATTAGCAAAGTCACTACTCAAGAAACACTAATTTTCCACCTCCTGGGTGGACTCAAATACAACTCGGATTTTTCCTAACACAATGTAACCTAATAGTAATCTGAAAAGAAAAAAAAATGCTTTAAGTTAAAAAAAAAAAAAAAAAAGAGAGAGAGAGAAAGAAAAACACTAACTTTCCTCTGGCCCAGCTCTAGAGGAAAAGAAGCTGACCTTTAATGGTTTCTAACCTGCTCTGCCATGGAATCCATATGCTTGTATATCCCACAGCAGCCATTTGTTAAGCACCTACTGTGTACTGGGAGGCAGGCACTGCAGCTGTCTCATTCATTGCAATTCTCTGTGCTCGACATATGGCTGGCACTTAGGAAGTGCTCAGTAAATACATTTACAATGGTTGATACATGAAAGAATGCTTTCAATATAATATCCAAATTAATCTATATATTCAGAGCATGTACTATGATTACCAGCTTTACAGATGAGACAATAGAGGATTGGGCCACAAAACCAGTAGATAGAAAGGACCAGGAGTCCCCCACCCATGTCAAGAGACCTTAAATCCCAAGTCCTGCACAGTCCCACTCCTGCCTCCTTTCGGCCATCATGGCAGCTGGAGGTGGCACCCCACACTGAGATGCTTGGCCTCCCAGATGCCAGACTCTGCTGTACAGAGCACCCTTTAAGGATGATACCCTTTTATTAAGCCTAACCTTGCTTGTTGTTCCAGCTCGGTGCTAATGTCTTTACACATATTGGTCACATATTCTCACAAATAACCTTTATCTCTGATATCATGGTTATAACCACCATTTTACATGAGCAAAAGTGAAGCTTGGTCAGGTTAAAGAACTTGCCCAAGGCCACATGGCCATCAATGAGGATGGAGCCAAAACTTAGACCCTACTCTAAACCCCTTCCTTTTTTTAATTTTTATTTGTTTTTGCTTTTGTTTTTTAAGATACAAAATAAGCTACGTAAACATCCTGAGCATATAGCTCAATGAGATATTATATATCTACATAACCTTATGCACCCACACCCAGGTAAATATATAGGCTATTTTCAGTCTCCCAAGAACCCCCAGTGATGCTTCCTAATGACAGAGGTTAATTAACTCCCCTATAATCCCACATGTAGGCAACTCTTCTGACTTCTATTACCATCGATCTCACCCTGTCTTTGAGAGGATCAAAGAAATACTTGGAGTTCTGGGATTCAACTGGATTAGACTCCCTAGAGAGGCTCGAAACAGTAAATCTGCAGCATGAGCCCTTGCATTAAGACAGAAACTTTTTATAGTGGGGCGTTGTGGCAGCCGCCTATAGACTCAGCTACTCAGGAGGCTGAGGCAAGAGGACTGCTTGGGCCTAGGAGTTTGAAGTTGCTGTGAGCTATGACCCACAGCACTCTACACAGGGTAACAGTGAGATTCTGCTTTAAGAAACAAAAACAGACAGAGGCCTTTTAGAGTAAGCAGGAACAGCCATTCAAAAGAGGAAATACTGTTTCCCTGTCTTCACAGTCGGTGAAGAAATATCTTCCCCATTCTCCAGGAGGAAATATCAGAGGGCAAAAAAAGTCTGCCTTCCCTACTCCCCACCCTGCCAGCCTGCTCTTGACCTGAGCATCTCTCTGCTCCCCCTCCCTCCCATGGGTCTAGATGTCTCCTGTCTCGTGTCTTGTTGTGCCCTTCCTGGGGACTGCCTGGGGCACCCAGCTTGGCCACAGCACTCAGACTGCACTGTAGCCCCTGTGCATGACTGCTCGTGGTGGCCTGGCCAGAAAGTGTCTTCATACATCCCTGCTCCGGCTTTCCCGTGAAAATCCCACACAGGACAACATCTTGCTGTCTTCACTTTGGAGCTCATAAAGTAGAAGGACGGCACTCCCTCACACCTGGTGAGATGAGTGTGTGCACTGCAGATTTTCTCTTAAGTAGAGTGCCCTGAGATTCAGAAAGTTCTAGAAAGTACAATTCTGGCCACAGAATTCACCAGAATTCACAACTTCACCAGTAATAAAACTCTCTTTATTTTGTCTCTTTATTTCTGACTTCTGTGTGTTTACTTCTCAGTGAGTTCAGAACATGGAAGAAAGAGAAAAGTTTGTTGTATCATTAATCTCCAAATGCAGCGCTAGTACCAAGAAGTGTGTGGCATCCGTGTGGGTTTCATTTTACATTTTTGTAAACTTAAAATAGTGCCTAATTAACACTATCATATTAACTTCATAAGAGGGAATAATAATGCAAAATAATAAATTATACAATGTCAAATAATTAAAAATAATAGCATAACATAAATACCTGCTTGAAGAGAGAAAGTATTTTCTTGTATTTCCTGAGGGCTTAAATCATCTGATAAATGAAGCTGCGGGATTCGCCCGGCAGCATTTGCACTAGACAGGCTTCCAATGGAAGAACGGTCAGAAACAAAATTTCTGTCTCTGGAAACGAAAAGTTAATGAACAGATCATTTATCAATTTACCTCTTGGTGAGTCCTTTCTGTGTCTTGTTTAAGAAACAGTTGCCTTCCCAGTTATATTTATTGTTCCACTTTCAAATCCACCTAGCACTGATTGTGTATGACATGAGGTAGGAATAATTTTTCTATTTATGGTTATAGAACTGACTCCACACTATTTATTGAAAATCCTGACCTTCCCCCAGGGCTCCACCTGGCCACCTTGGTTTCTGAACTCCATTCTGCAGCAATCAATTCACTTGAATACATCTCAGTCTTGATTATTCTGAGTTTGCTTTTTCCCTGAAATTCCTGTCTTCCTTTATTTTAAGGAAGTTCTCTTGTATTATATCTTTCAACTTTTCTGTCTCCTCTTGTTTTACTCTCTACCTCGGGAATCTCAATTATCCACATGTTGAAACCCCCCCCAATTATCCACATGTTGAAACTCCATCTTCTGTTGGCCTTATCTTTGATTTTTCTAATTGCTTTCATTCCTTCATCTTTCTCTCTGCATTATATTTAATTCTTTTTAAGCTTGCCCTCCAATTTACTACTTCCTGTTGTTTTTTTTTTTCTGGTATTCTAGAGAATGCCTCAGTTCTCTGTGTGTTCTCAGTCCTCATTTTCTTTGCTAGATCTGCAGTCTCCTCCCCTTTTTTGTTGTCCTGTCATTTCATCTTCAATCTCTGTCATAAATTCATGTTCTGCTTAACGTCTTTGATGAAATAAAGCACTAGTTTTTCTATTTCCTCAGTCCCCTGTCTTCCACAATAGATCCTTCATCTGTCTTCTGTCAGCTTCATTTCCTCCTATTTTACATGGGTACCATATTTTTTCATTTATTAATTTTTCTCTGGTACCAGCTCTATCTGGATTTCTATGTGCCCAAACATGACATGAATGGAGTCTCCCTGACTTCCTTCTTATAGCATCTGGGTCCCCTAGTATCCCTCCTTTAGTTGTATGGAAAAGGTAAGGAGCTGCGTCTTTAGACAGGCAGACTTGGTGATCTTACATCTGTCAACATAATGTCTTAAAACGCAAATTTTATGGGTCTTTCTACCTGAGCAAGAAGAGTATATACCCGATGGAGAACTGTCTCTTAGTTTGGGATTGCAGGTGAATAGGCACAAACAGGTTTCCTGGAAACTGCCCTAACAACAACACCTGTTCATACTCAACCAGATGATCTGGCAGCCTCCACCCCTGGTGCCAGCTCCAGGCAGCCTCGGGGCAGGCACAGACTCTGAAAGTACTGTTTATCCAGCTGGGGTAATAAACTCTCTCAGAGCACCAAGACATATTTAACATAGATTAAGAGTTGACATATATCATTTTCCCAGGGAAGACTTTCCTAACATTACACCATAAAAACAAAGTGGAAAATGACTCTTCAGACATAAAAGAACTCTTTTCTATCAAGGATAGTTAGTTATGACTTGAGCAAAAGAAGGAAACTAGTACTTTGTATTAGATTTAACCCTATGTGGAACAGGGCAGGTTTTATCTATGAAGTATCACTTAACTATATATAGCTGCTCTCCAAGAGGGCAACACACCACTACTGTAACAGGGGTGACTGGCCAATGATAAGTAACAACCATCACTATCACCCCATCATCACCCTACAAACCTGAACAAAAAAACCTTAGCAATTGTAATATTTTGACCAAAGGGCTAACTTATTCTGTCACAACACTAATGAAAGATTTACAGTTTATACTTTAAGTAATTGAGACTTTCTTATGATGGTCATAAAGGCACATAGATTGTGTCAACAGTCTATAAATTTAGTGCCTTTGTTTAGGTAATGACAGAAATAATTAAGCTATTGTCTATTATCTCTACAGTCTGGTTCTTATGCTTCAGAATGTTCCCTCTGAGAAAATCAAGTTGGTAACACATAGTTCTATAATATCCCTAGAAGCATAATAAAGATAAAGTCTTAATAATATTGATTTGACAATATCTACTTATATTAAAATTGATACGTCATTCTGCCTTTAATATAATGATCTTTATTTATATACTATAGCTCATAAATAATCTCTTTCAAGTAGACATATTTATTTTTAACTTTCATGCAATAGGGCTGAGATATGCTTTATAATAAAATTAGGTAATAGAATCTTCCCATGGATGGCACCAAAAGATACTATTGTTCATTACTTCATTGTAAGTAATGAAGAAAACATGGAGGTTACATTGCAACATACTTTCAGAGAATTTCAAGTGAAAACTACATTAACAAACCATTACTTTCCCATGTTCATATCTTAGAATCCATTAGAATTCTACTTTTTAAAAAAGAAATAATAATACTCGCTTTAGAGAACTGCAATGAAGATCAGAAAGAAAAGTAGAGCAATGGACCAGGATCGTGACATGGCGACCACTTGTCTAATGATACCATCTTTTATTTTAAAGGAGGATTATACATATGTTCCTTTAAAATAGGCTTTCCTTTTATTGATAGATAATATGTATATACACATATAAACGTTTTAGTAAAAGATTAATAATTATTGTACTTGGTGGCATAACAAAGTGTACACTGATTCAAGGAAAAGGCAGCAGAAAAAATGTTTTAAGTTATTGGATTTCCATTCAGCCTACATAATATTTGCAGACTGGTGGTCTTCTACATTCCTGGCACTGATCTGGAGGCTGGTGATGCAAAGATAAACACAGCAGAGTTCCCAAGAACTTTAAAAGATGAATACCCCTAACATTGATACAGAGCATGCTTGCAACAAGCATAGATGGTTCTGGAAAACATGAATGGCCAAAGAACCCACAGTGAGAGGGAGCACTGTGCACCCAATATGCCATCTTGTCAAGAGGTCCAGCCTTCTATGGAGGGCAGAGTAGGCCACAGCCCACTCGCACTCACCCTCTTAAAATATGAAGAAGCTGCTTGATGCCTCCCCAAATGCGAATTTCCACACTGGTCTCAGGGTCCTCACAAACCTGGACCAGAATCCACACAACACTCCAGAGCAGCTTCAAGTGGTCAGAGTGGAGCAGACTGAGGAGGACAGGAATCCCCTCATAGAGCTTCACCTGCTCTTTCACCTGGGGTTCGGCACAAAGTAGGCGCAGCAACTCCGCAGTTAGTCTGAAAGGAATGGGAGAGTGTGAGAATCACAGCATTACCAGTTAGTGACTTTATATATGTCATTGCATGAAATATAACTCTAACATTTTCCAAGCCATGGGTTGACACAAGTTTTCTGTACAGGGCCAGACCAAAGCCAAATGTCCTGGGTTTGCTAACTATATAATCACTATCACAACTACTCAGCTATGCTGAGATAGCACAAAAGTAGCCATAGACAACACATAAAAATGAATGAGTGGCCAAGCATGATGGCTCACACCTGTAATTCTAGCACTCTGGGAGGTCAGGATAGGAGGATCACTTGAGGTTAGGAGTTTGAGACAAGCCTGGGCCAGAATAAGACCCCTGTCTCTACAAAAAATAGAAAAGATTAGCCAGGTATAGTGATGCACTCTGTAGTTCCAGCTACTCAGGAGGCTGAGGCAGGATAATCTCTTGAGCCCAGGAGTTTGAGGTTGTAGTTGGCTAAGATGATGCCATGGCATTCTAGCCATGGTGACAAAGTGATACTCTGTTAAAAAAAAAAAAAAAAGAACTAAAGAAAAGAAAGAAAGAAGGAAGGAAGGAAGGAAGGGAGGGAGGGAGGGAGGGAGGGAGGGAAATGCCAGTGTTACAATAAATCTTTACTACAAAAATGAGAAGCAGCCCAGATTTAGACTGCAAGGGTCACAGTTTGTTGATCACTGTTCAAAGTTATTTCCTTATTGCATCCTCATCAGTCTGGTTAAAAACCTACTGACCAGCAAGTAAGTACCATGTAAAAATGAAATCTGCATTGTGCTAAAGACAAAAGAAATATAAAAAACCTATTCAAGTCTCCAGAAACTTACTACATGGTTACCAAAAAATAAGACATTCATAGAAAATGTCAAAAACACTACAATGCAGGGGAATTAAGTGCAAAGTGCTCAGTTACTATAAACCCAGTTCAAAGTGCATAAAAATGATGGTAAAGACATAAGGTTCAGCTGAACCATGAAACATGATGGTAAATATCTCACAGAATCATCCTTGGTCTCCTAGTCTCACACTCTAAACACTCTCTCTGAATGGCACCATCCATTCTTATGGTTTCTAACACTCACTCAGTGATGCCATCATTATCTCAGGCACTGCTCCAGCCCTCAAGAAGTTTTAGTCATGTGTGTGTGTTCCACAGGTACTCACCACACTACCTCTAAACTCAAAGTCATTATCCTCCTTCCTCCCCAAATCTATTCTTTCTCTCCTATCCCACATCTTGACTTCTGGCACCACAATCTTATCAGTTTTCCAAGCCAGAAGACTGACAGTCATCAAGATACTTCTTTTCCTTCCACCCCCTGCCACTGCCAATTAAGAATCCCTGGTGTCCCCTATTTCCTGGGCAACTTCTGGGATTAATTCTCCCCAATGTCTGCAAACTAGCTAAGCCCATTCTTCCTCCCATCCTGTGGTCCTTGATTATGATCAAGATATAACCTCCTCTGTCCTCCACCTTTCCAATATCCTCATTTCCATACTACTTTATAATTCCTTTCCCTGAACCAATTTTCCATGGCTCCTCTCCCTGCCAAATTTTCTGCACTGACATTAAAAATACACATTTTTGGTAAGCAGTATTTGTTACCTTTGCAAGCTTTCTGCACCAAACATTCCCTCCCTGTTGTATGTGGATCTCCATTTGTGAACATATTCCACCCCCACCCGCCCCTACATATACTTCTATCAAAGTGATCTTTTAAAAAAAATAAATCTGACCATGCTTGAAATCTTTCTGTCTTTATTTTGCACACAGAACTCATCATAACCTGGATAAAAGTATCTTATTGCATCATCTAAAAAATAACAGGGTTATTGCATAGATCAAATGAGTAAACACACAAAAGTGCCTAGAGCATGTTGTAATATAGAAAGCACTGATCAAAGTTAGCTGTATTTTTAACTTATTAACTGTCTGATCTAATTATCTGGTACTTTCCTTCCTTTGCTCCAATTGTACCCAACCACATAGATTCCTCTAACACACCCAATCCTGTGCCTCCATGTCAGAGCATTTTCTGTTTTCACTTGCTCTCTCCCTCAGCCTATCTGTCTCCTCTGTCTTCTTCTTTCCTCCAGGTACCTGGCCTGACCCCTCACTCTGATTGGTCTCTGCTTTGCTTCCAGAGTGCCCCATACATCTTTCTACTGTACCACTAGCAGCACTGTAAGGAAACTGGTGACTTGTCTGTCCCCTCCCCTCACTGAACACTTGGACCTTATTCATCTTTGATTTTCCAATAGCTGGTATACAGTCTGACCTTGTTTGTTGGGTAAATAAGTTTAGATAACAAAGTGTTATCTAAAGTCTCTAAGTATATAGAGTCTTCTCTAAATTTAATGCTCTTTGACAAGACTTCTTGAAAAGAGAGGTAAATTGGCCTTCAAGGAAAAAAATCCAAAAGGAATTACAAGTTTAACATCAGGGCTTCATCCAGGCTCCACTATTAAGCCAGACTTTAAATGAATTTGCAAATCTGTAGAAAACTACTATTCTTCTCACTAATTTTGTGGTTTGGGGAAATTCTGGTAATTTTTTATTAAAATCTGGTAAGTATTTTAAAATGTGATGAGTTTATAATAATACAAATAATCATATAGTTAAAAGAGAGATTTGTATCTATTTTACTTCTTTAGAAAATTATTATTCAATTAAATATAAAATGATTGCAAATCTATTTAAACATGACCTAATAGCCATATGGATACAGTAATCCTTTAGAACAATATTCAGTTCAAGTGAAAATGAATCCATTTGACTTTATTTTCTATTTTGAGTTATTATATCAGGTAATTTTTCAAATTACAAATTACAAAACAAGTCAATAGCTACCTTTGTTTTGCTTGACTTGAGATAATTAGTTTTAAGAATCTAATCATTTATTGCACACATGATCTGAAATTACTAAAACTAGAGTCACTTCAGAGTTTCTTTTTCCTAAAAGGCAGGATGTAAATAAATGCAATAAACAAAAACATTAAAGATGTTATCATACGATTTATGGAATTAGATTCTATGCCCAGATCTAGAAGTAATGAAGGACTAAAGGTAAGTTGATACACTTCTTTGTTCTAGTTCCTTTATATGAACTTAAATAGAAAATAAATGCTAATCTGACTAATGATATTCAGTTACAATGTAAATAACAGGACATAATAGAAATAATAATAATAAGCATTTGCATCAAATAAAAACATTGTCTTTTTTCCCCTGTTAGCAATCCTACCTTTTGGAAAGCAAGTCATACTCATGTAAAATCATCAATAGATTTTCTACAATGTTGAGTTCACTTATCTTCTCCCTACATTCTGGACTATAAATTGAAAAATATTAGTAATTACTAACAACATCCATGTATTTATTACATTTACCTATTTACTATCCTAGGTCTTACATTATCTCAGGAGAAGAGACCAAAAACAAAAGGAATCATAAGCACACAAAAAGAGAGATCCACTTATTAGCATAAAGATATATTTCAAGTTCTTTTACAGATAGTTATAAATTATAAATTGCACACAAACTTTATAGACATCCAGTATTTAAAATAATTATGACATCTATAGGAAGACAAATTTTCTCAGAATTTTTCTAAAGAACACAATGTTTAAAAATGTTTTTATGTAACAATAGAGGCCAGGCATGGTGGCTCATGCCTATAATCCCAGCACTCCTACAGATTGAGGCGAATGGGTTGCCTGAGCTCACAAGTTCAAGACCAGCGTGAGCAAGTGCAAGACCCCATCTGTAAAAAGTAGCTGGGTGTTGTGGCTGGCACCTGTAGTCCCAGCTACTCAGGAGGCTGAGGCAAGAGATGTTGCTGTGAGCTAAGACGCCATGGCACTCTACCCAGGGTGACCAAGTGACAGTCTGTCTCCAAAAAAAAAAAAAAATACACAGGTAAGAATGAATTAAGAAGGTCAGGGAGATGCAACTGCAAAAGTACAAAAGAAATAATACATATTATGGTGATTTTTAAAAGTGGAAGTAACTGAGATGAAAAGACTAGGTAAATAGTTCTGGTCAGGGAAAGAAAACTAAAATTTTTAACAGCAATTTGCCTTTCCACCTAACTTAAATTCTTAAATAATGCTCTCTTTCCAGAATCATAACAATAAACGTAAATAAATAAATGTAATTCACATTTATTTTTCACAAAAATATTTACAATTTACTACTACTTACACTAGTTGTAGGTGACAAAGTAACTTATCTATTCTGTATCCTTCCCACTTAAAAAGGTATCACAGAACTACAAAGTACATTAAAATACACAACTCACCTTTCTGCTAAACTAGCCAGAGCCAGAAGGGAACCCAACAGAACATTTGTATCTCGGGCACCAAGTAAATTTACTAATGTCTGAAAAGTGAAGTAAAGTTTAGTTCATGTTATATAAGTACAATGAAGTTTATTTGATAAATTATACAAATACTGTAAGCTTCTTGAATGATATAATATTTCTTTCTCAAGACCACAGAGGTTTAATCTTTTTTTTTTTTGCTCAGTATTTTATAATGTATATGCCTGTATAATTGAGCACAAGCTGTATATACAGTTTTAGAGCTGCTCTTACTTTGTTCTTAATGTTATCCACTAAAATTTCTCCATAGCGTTAAGTATGTCTTCATAAACACTATTTTTTGTCATTATAATCAAATTATTATATTATGGCTCTCCTGACAGAGTAATGAAAAATGTTATGCCCTATCAAACTTTATATATTCTACTTTTTTAAGTTTTATAGACTTAACTTTAAATGAACTTTTTTTTTTTAATTGAGACAGAGTCTCACTTTGTAGCCGTCTGTAGGGTGAGTGGCATCACAGCTTATAGCAACCTAAAACTCTTGGGCTCAAGCGATTCCCTTGCCTCAGCCTTCCTAGTAACTGGGACTATAGGGGCCAGCCACAGTGGCTGGCTTTTGTTTGTTTGTTTACTTGCTTGGTTGTTTAGCAGACCCAGGCTGCATTCGACCCCACCAGCCCCAATGCTGCCCTAACTACTGAGCTACAGGTGCCCCCCAAGAACTTTTATTAAACATTCAAAATATCCAGTTCTGTACAGAGAGCAGGTGTCCACCCCCTCCTTACTTGGAACTCTTGAGATTAAGTAGCAACTTGCCCAGGACAGGAAGTAAAATTGACCAACCTACATGACCAGCAAGGTTCTCACCTTTTCCTCGACTTCCTTGATGCCCAAACAGTCTGCTCTAGCCCTTCTGATCCCTCCCCAGGGAGAAATGGAGAGACTGATGACAGAAATTCTAATATTAGTAGCAACCAGCCATTTGAGAACTCACTCCAAGCCAGACATTGTGCTAGGCATTTTGCAAATTATGGAACTATTTTTCAACAAAATGTTGAAAGTTTCATTTTTTTTCAAATTAAAAAAATATATGCTAACTGATGTTGAAAGTGTTGAGAAACCATCAAGGCTCCCAAGCATCATGCTAAAGAACACAACCTAGCTGGAGGTTGCCTTCCCTCAATTCTCATTCATTCAGATTCTCTTCTCTTCTGTCTTATTTTCAGAATTCAGAACCCCTCAAAAGGATACAACGAAAATTCCCATGGCAAAGCTGTAACGTGTGCAATGATTGCTGAGAGGATTTTTTGGTTTCTGTTAAATGTGGATTTTTTCCTTTATGATTTCATTTTTTAAAGAAAGCTGTCATTACCTTTATCTCTTTATTTCCTTCTTTTCTTCTCCCACTTTGTCTTTTATTTCTCTTTGTTCTAACATAATGCTTACCCAAACATCATCACTCTTGTCATGTCTGCTTAAGACCTTAATGCTAACTCAAAAAGTATCTTTAAATCCTAACCAATAATATCTAGGACTTAGATGGGCTACTGAAATGAAAAACGTTGATGTGTGTTACCTAGAATCATTCCCTAGCGAGAGCACCATGTTTTAATATATTTCAGGCAATCTTGCACCCACATATACTGGAAAGTGGCTTCCTGAGACATGAGAACTCAACAGGTTATTGAATCTTGGCTCTACATGGCTACAATCCAAACAGGTTTGCTATGAATTTAGTCTGTTTTGATTAAACCTGCATTCTTCCATCTTAAAATGTACTTTTGACCCATATCCTTATACTATACCATCTTATTACAAGGTTAACCATTGAAATTGCCTATACTCAGCCATTTTTTACCTACAGACAATGGCAATTACATATGCTAGTACAACCCTCTGTACCATATGGAACTGATTAATAGGTATACATATTTTTTTATTTGTTTATTCATATTTAGTTATAAACACACAACTTGAGTCAGTTTATATATAGCCAGGTTTTTTCAAACAACACTTAAATTAAGCAGTAAGTTTAGTTGATAGTAAATGACATAGGAAAAAAGAAAAAAGAAAGAGTTCTGGAAAATTTTTATTACTGTCTCTATTAACTTGTTAGGCCAGTGAAGACCATAAAAAAGTTGGCAGAGATTCACAATTTCAGGCAGGTTGGCTGGTTTATGAACTATAATTAAAGGTGGCTTGACCACAAAGGCTCTGAACTTCCTCATGTGAACCACTGACACATGGAGCTGAAGCATTAACTCTTTCAGATGCCACTCACCTTGTGGGCTCCACTTGTAGTAACCCATTCTCTTTGGTCTTTTACAGCAGCAAGTTTTTGAAAAATATCTATAAAGGAAAGAAATAACTCAAAGAGAGATCCAGAGATTAAAGTGGGCAATACTCATAGAACCTCAGGTCTGCACTATGGAAGGGAAAGCAGAGAAAAGGCCAAGGGAACACAGGCAAGACAAAAGGAACAATGAAGGGATGAAGGGAAGAGCCATTTTTTTATCTCAAGAATGCCCCTCAAGCTCAAATGTACTTATTTTATACTAACAAAACATGGGAATATCCAAAAAGGCAGACCTCTCCTTCCACTTAAAACTGAACAAGTTCCTTAATATCATTAAAAAGTGATGTCTATTTTTCAAAGATTCTCCCTATAAGTATTTCCACTTATAAAGAAGAGAGGGAAGGCCAGGGAATGTGATGTACTTTGTCAGTTCCCTCAGCAAAGAGACCTCCCCCCCATGCCAGGGCTTGCCACAGACTCTTCCTCAGTGTACTGCTCTGCAAACATATGGGGGAGCCAGCCTATCCACACAAAGAAAATGGGCCAGCATCTCACAATAGCAGGAAATCTGGGGCTCATCAAAGCTGGCGGGGACAGAAAGTGGGACTGGAAATAACCTCTAAAGAGAGACCATTGAGTGACTAGGGAATGTCTCTCACTCACAAACCAATGTTTGCACATTATCATCATCAGAAGAGATTTGTTGTTGTTGTTATAACTCTCTGAGTATTCCAGAATCTGTGAGGTCTGTCTTAGAATTAACCAAATTTCACAGACATAAATGGAATAGCCTCTGATATTTTATTAGAAATTAAAAGAGGTAAAAATATTTTTACCAAAATTTGTTTTTTATGGAAACCTCCCTTGCATTAAATAAATTGTACTTTGTAAGGTAAGAGTTGTAATCTAGAAATCACCGTTCTGGGTACATTTTGCCACTGCATATACCAACTGGCATGGACTCCCAACACTTTAACTGTATGAGAACATTCATAAATATTCAAAGTATCCATTTTTCCTGCTGCAAATACTGCAGTGCTTATTTGAGCAAGTCCACAAAGTTGGCTGTGCCCCAGATGACAATGCTTACATGTCATGTTGACCAGCTTGTCCACACTGTGCTGCTCTTCTCCATAGCCAAGGTACTCATTGGCCACAATCTCCATGTACTGTAGGAAGGACCAAACCAACAAGCCATTCAGAAGGGAGAACACCAAAAGCACACAGGCAGGCCAAGGACAAGATTTTGCACTTCTTAAAATGAGCTGTAGGTGGCACAACAGATTCAGCAAACAATCCTCAGTACTCTGAGCCGGTTTCACTCAAGTGCAAAAAGTGGTGAGGTTTCTGAATTCTTTGCCTTTTCTTTCATGCCCTGAAGTCAAAGGAGGGACCTAAAGACTATATAAAAACTCTCAAGAGTTTCAAATAACTGAATAGGTTTCTGGTGTAATTTGGTATCCAAATATAAAACACATGTAATACATACTATATAGTACCTAGAATTTTAATTTTCTACCTTTTAGTAGAATTTTTATAATTTACTACATATTTTTTATTGACCTGTTTTTATAACATTCAAAATTATATCTAACTAGCATACATGAAGTTAGCAATAATCAGAATACAGTGGGTATGGAGTAGTCTGATAATACCCTACAGATAATTAATTATAAAAATAATAATAATTTTTAAAAGGCCCAGATATATATATATATATAATTTCTGATATTATAATGGAAGTTAAAATAGATAAGCTATTTTACAATATAATTTTATGAAATATTATTTGATTAAATGAGGCCAAGCTCCAAGCAATTAAAAACATTCTTAAAAATTAAACATGAACCAATATCCTAAGGATGAGAATACAATGGAATAAAATATATTTCAAGTTATATTGTCATAAACTTAATCTCCCATTAATAATTCAGAATGAGTTTGCAGGGCTTCAGGTTTATTACAAAAATCATTCTTTCCATACACAATGGCCTACTCCAAGTCAATAACATGACCAGAAATTTTGTTTTATGATATTAATACATGCAAGCCTTTGAGTTGTTCGGCATGTATATTCACCTGCTCACCTTCCCCAATAGTTATCAAAGCAGCAAAGCAAATGAAGTCAAGATCATTCCTTACTTTGTCATTTATGTGTTAATATTTCAGTGAAAACAATAATTTGTTTTTGTGTCTGAAAAAGTTTTGAACACCTTTATAATCTATATATTCTCCTACCAAAAGGTATGCCCACTGCTGAGAAGTTGGGACTGCCAGCCAACACCTACCTCCTATAATCACTAACTCAAAACATGTGACCTTTTATAGCACTTACTTCAACAGGCTGGGTAAATTAGCCAGAACAAAATGTCACAGATCTCTCCCTATTCTGTCTATGTCAGGCCTCATCCTCACACTTAATCAGCCCACCTGCTCCTCCCTGAAGCAGGCACGGCATAACATAAAAAGACCCATCTTCTGACACACATCTATTTAATTCTTGCTTGCAGCATGGCATAAAATAAAAAGGCCAGATAGGCACCCCAAAAGGACTCTTACCTGAGCTAGGTCTCCGATCCCACCCAAGTTATGGAGCAATTCCTAATAAAATAAAAATCAACAGAGCACAGATCAAATGAGATTACAGAACACAGATTAACAGAGCATAGATGCCGGGAAAGGGGGAAGTATATTTTACATTCAACTTCTTTACTAAAGACATAGGATTTATAATTATTTCTTGAAGGTGTGCATTCGAACAGAAACATGAAGAATTTATTATTTGTCATTTGTACTGCATTTAAGAGAAACTTCCAATAAATATGAAAGTTGGGTTGAGATTAAGAGAATGAACTGGTGCTGGGAACTGCAGCCTGCCTCCTAGTTCTTCTTACTTCCTCCTGTGTCATCAGAAAGTGTTAGAGTCAGGAAGAGTTGTTAGATTTCATTTCATTCAATCCTCTCATGTTACAGAGGGGGAAAACCAAGGCCCAGAAGGGTAACCCACTCTGCCTAACTTAAGAGCCTGGATGAGATAGTATCACTGATCTCTCAGGAACTTCCTCCAGGTCTCTGCCTGGTAGCACCAGTACCACCCGGGCACTGACTATAAAGGTAGAACCTCCCATCTACCCCAGACCTGCTCAGTCAGACTCTGACTTTCAACAGGATCCCCACGCTCTATTAGCACATACAGTACAGTGTGAGAATCACTGTTCTAGTAAAGGAAGAGCTTCTCTTTAAAATTATTATGCTAATGATCTTATTAAACCCATATTCTAAACAATGTAACAATAATCTTTGCACGGTGTCTCCTAGCACGGGACTTTAAATCTAACTCCCAATAAATACATTTCTGAAGCTTCCCTGAAAGTGCTAATCAGGGAAGAGAAGGAGTGGGAGGCTGGATCTGTGAAAGGGGCCAGTTGGGAACTCTGCTAATCCTAAGGGCTCTTAGGTTATCCTCACTGGCATTTACCTGCAGGCAAATGTTTCCAAGTGGCCCTCACCTGCTTAATTAAAGCTGTATTGACATCTCTCTCCTAACTTAACATGCACACAAGGAAGTTATTTGAAATATAAACACTAGCCATTATTTCACTTCTGGGAAATGCACAGTCAAGTGCATAAACATGAGAGAGAACAATCCAGTTCTGCCATGGAACCAACCAAGTGGGCAGCCTGGGGAAGAGGCACAGGTTCCCAAGGCCTCCTGGGTCACAGTTTCCTTACTCTATGTGAGGTGAACTTAGAAACACTGAACACACTCATGTCTAAAGTAAATAAAAAGGAACATTTAGAACTCAATTCAAAATAGCTCTATGACTACCTACTAATTTGAAGCCTCATCAATGCTATTCACCCGTTAAGAGCTATAATTAAAGAACATAAGTATATTTATATATTAACTCTATTTATGGTACAATGTTTTATACAATAAAAATTAAAAATGAACCACTTACATATTATATATTCAACAGTTTTTTTTTTCATTGTTGCTATGTAAAGGCACTGGGTTAGACACTGAAGTGGATATAATATGTAGATAAGCTCTAGGCAAGCATAACTTGTTTGTAGTTATACAAACAATTAGAATTTAAGAAAGAATAGATAAGTGTTATGCGGGACCAGAGGAGGGACACTTCATTTCATGCTGAGAGGACCAAGGAAAGCATCATATGGGTGGTGGTCTCTCAGGGGAGACTGGAAGGATGCATGAATTTGTCGAGCAAAAACAAGAAATAGAAGAAATAAAGGAAACTCTTTGCTCAAGCTAAGAGAACAGGAGAATCAAAAATACATAGAAATTGTATAGAAAAAACATCAGCTCTAGATGATGTACTTGAGAATTTGAAAGAAGCAATTCCATAAGTTCATGAAAGGCATTATTGGGGAAAATATTAGAAAACTAGAGTGGGATCAAACTTTGGAAGGACTTACATGTAAGCCTGAATTTAAACTTTTTCATGTAGACTGTAAGATGTAGTGAAAAATATGTGAGCAAGCAACCAGTCAGAACCAGGCATGAGGACTTCCCTCTAGTCTCAAAACGAACTAGACAAGAGACAGGGTGCCAGTGGGAGCCAAACTGGGAGTCAGTGACAGTGAGAATAGGAACAGAGAGAAATAATAATCTTTGGGCATGAAGGCAGATTGGAGACAAAGTAGAAGATACCAGCCTCGTTGAGCATGGGTGACTGGGGATAAATGACATCCTTAACAGACACCACGGAGGAGAGAAAAGCAGACTGGGTTAGAGAAGACTCGGTTGTAAACATGCCTAAGTGCAGGTGGAATCTCCAGGTGAAAAAAGAACAACAGGCCAGAGAAAATGTGGGGAGGGCAAAACATTGGAATTTAGGAGTCTTTCACATGAAGGAGGTTCAAATTTAAAGTTTGGGAGCGGGAAGCCACCAAGGGAGAGAAATGTTGCAATGATTGGTCGCAGTAATGTTATTTTTAGATGTATACCATGACAAGAAATGTATTCTACCCAATAATGTGAACAATATGGGAGTTAGTCCAAGTTTCCCCAACTATGTCCTGGAAACAGTCATTCTACCTGAATGCAGTAATGTGATTAGTCATTCTATAAAAATAAACAAAGAGTTTTGTGCTCAAATCAGGTTGGAAAATGCTAGGTCTGCTAGCATTTTCAGACTAATTCATCTCAGGTCTGCTCAGAGCCTTTACTCTGCTGCAGTGCACTGCAAGTCTCCAAGGGGGAAAGTTAGCATGCAGATTTCCCTGAATGTCACAGGGCACATATTACTCATGTGGAATACAGTGTGGAAAGTGCTGCTATAAAGTGTAGGAATGGCAAAGAGCCTTCCTCACTCTCAGAGAATTCATCATTGTGTTCTTGAGAATTTTTTTTTTTTTAAGACAGAGTCTCACTCTGTTGCCCAGACTGGAGTGCCATGGCATCAGCGTAGCTCACAGCAACCTCAGACTCCTAGGTTGAAGTGATCCTCCTGCCTCAGACTCCCAAGTAACTGGGACTATAGGCACCCACCACAATACCCGACTAATTTCTATTTTTAGTAGAGATGGGGTCTCATCCTTGATCTGGCTGGTCTCTAACTCCTGAGCTCAAATGATCCTCCTAACTCGGCCCCCTAGAGTGCTAGGATTAAAGGTGTGGCCACAGTGCCCAGTCTGTGCTTGAGAATTTAACTTCTGTTTATGAAATGAACACTTTCCCACTGTGCTCTTGTGGAGAGTGGAGCAAGGGCAGGAGGCTGCTCACAGACCCACGGCCTTCCTTGTAGTTCCTCTCCTTATATCAATGAGACTGCACTGACCTGAGGGTGTAAACTGAAGAAAACCATGACTACGAGGTCTGTATACACCAGGGCGTAACAGTTCTAGTTACTGATCTGGAAAGCAAATATGACTGCTGTAACCTTGGGTTACAGCAATACCTGTGGGCCCTTTTACATCACAGCATTTTCCTCCTGTCAGAGGACAGAGGAGTGCTGTAACACTGAATCACTTACACAACCATTTTACTCCCCTGTTCAAAAATCATCAGTGGCCCCACAATGCTGATTCCTTGGTCACAATTTTGCCACCTCCCTCTGGACTGGCCTCTTTCCAAGTGTATTATAGTAACTACGCTTCTAAAAGGTTTGGAGTATTAGATTTATAAAGTAGTAAAGGGGGAACATGGAGATGCTTCTAAAGCTGCCTACCCAGAGTCTGAAATGGTGCCATTCAATGAATCAGGAGTTGATTCTGAAGGTTCAAGGATGAGGGGAAGAACTGAAGAGCTCCTGAGCAAGAGCGAGACCCCATCTCTATTAAAAATAGAAAACCTAGGCTTGGCGCCTATAGCCCAACCGGCTAAGGCGCCAGCCACGTACACCTAAGGTGGCGGGTTCGAATCCCCAGCCCGGACCCGCCAAACAACAATGACGG